TACAATTAGTCACAAATACAGTCCTCGAGTTTTTTTGCCCATACACATGAGTATTGTCTAAACCATGTCTTCTTTGTAGCAGCTAGGCCCTGCCACCACTGTGCTTGGCTGAGTTCACAAATCTGTTGTAACCTGTAGCTTCCCTGTCACTTCTCTGGCTCTCCTCTCCTGCTAAGCTTTGTTTCCTGGCAGTATTAAAACCTTCTGCCACTGCCATAGCTACTGTTGCTGCTGGAACCGCCATAGCCACCTTGGTTTTGTGGTTTGGCAAAATATTGGCCTCTACCACCGTAAGGTCCAGAGCTTCTGCCTCCAAAGTTTCCACCCTTCATGGGTCCAAAATTTGATGACTGATTGTTGTAACTGCCAAAATCATTGTAGCTTCCACCACCTCCAAAATTGCTTCCATCATTACCAAATCCATTGTAGCCATCCCCGCTGCCACCATAGCCACCACCACCACGACTGCCACCAAAGCCACCACGACCACTGAAGTTCCCTCCACGACCAAAATAAAAATATGGAACGCTTCACGAATTTGCGTGTCATCCTTGCGCAGGGGCCATGCTAATCTTCTCTGTATCGTTCCAATTTTAGAATATGTGCTGCCGAAGCGAGCACAGCTCTTTTATTTTCAATAGTCATCCCTACCTGGGTAACTATACTTCTGGTCCTGATCATATCTCATATTATCCAGAGACAATTCCCATTGGGATTTTTCCTTTCACTCAAATACAACATATCTAGAACCAGTTTGAGTAGTGAACAACTGTGGTGCTTCATCTCTCTGAGATCATACCTGCCCCTGCCATGTATTAGGAGCTGTGATACTAGGCCACTGCTGTTTGGCGTCCCCTGTTACTGCATGTGTGATTCCTAGTTAGGTTCCTGGTCTGTTACCTTTTCATCTGCTCCTACAGGGTTAAGAATAGGTTCTCCTGGTCTCTCCTCAGAGTCTGCTCCTCCTATAGAACAGGACACCATCACCAGCCCATGTAAAATAAGGGCATGACCTCTCGATATCCCCCATCTTCAAATTTCATGAAGCACCATACATACCTTTTAGTTTTCATAGTAGAAAAGAATTTTCAAATTCTAAGTGTGAGGAATTGCAACATTTCAAATGAAAAACTTCCTGGTGTTTGCTTATTCAACTACATTTATCTCTGAAAGACTTATTTTATTCTAGGTAATCAATGACTTCAAAAAATAATTATACCTTCTTAACCAGATCTCCCCTTATCCTTCCCCCAGTCTCTGTCCATTCAGGAAAGACTTCAAGGAACATTTAAGTTAGTACTGCAATCTGCAACTGAATTTTGTCACATCTGGGTTCTAGAAGGAAACACGGCAAATTCTGATAGGACAGTTGTTCCGAACAATTCTACTTCAAGGAGTTTATTCCAAGGAAAGAAACAGAGATTCTCTCAAAGGCTTATGTTCAGAATATTCATTTCAGTTACTTGTAATAATGAAAAAGTAAAAAATCTACATGGATAGTTAAATAAATGATTTTAGTCATGTAATATAATGCATCCATTAAATATCCCATTTTAAAAACATTTTTTATGACATGGAAAACTCCTATGCTTTAATATCAAGGAAAAACAATAACAACCACAAAAGCCCCCTGGCCATAAAAAGCCCCCTCATCAGCTATTGAAATTGTTTTCATTATGATCTAAAATTTACTCTTAAAAATATGAATGACTGTCAATGCCAGAAACAACACAGATAAAAAGTAATTATAAGCCAGTAATCCAGAATTTTAACTGGTTAACTATCACCAGTGGGATTTTAAAGTGATTTCTATATTTTGGTTACAATATAACTTGTTTCCCAAATGTTCTAGAAATGTGTAATTTATTCATTCATTAATATATTCAACAAACATTCAAGTGACTGTTAGGTGTCAAGCATTCTGCTTTGTGCCAGAGAGATTCAAATGTACAAGACAGAACAGATGTGGTATTTGCTCTGCCCAGAGTTTACAATCCTGTAAAAATAGGATAGTTTTCTTTAAAAAAAAATATTTCATTTGATCCAGTAATTCCACCTCTGGGACTCTATCCTAAGGAAATTGTCAAGACAGCAAATCAATCAGGAGGGTGATACAGGAGGATCACAAGTTTATGACCAGGTTTAGAGAAACCCTGTCTCAAAATATAAACTAGAAAGAACTGGGGATTTAGCTCAGTGGTAGAACACCCCTGGTTTCAATCCCCATTACTGGGATAAAAAAGCAAAGCAAAATTTTCATATAGATGTATCCATTACAGCATTAGTCATAATAGAAAAAAACCAGAAATCACCTACATACAGTAGGGGAATGGCAAAATCAATAATAGTGCATTCATATAATGAAGCAATACTAAGTTATTATTATGTTTCTAAAGATTGTAATAACATGGGCAAAGTTACCAATGTTTTCCACCAGTATCTATGGGAAAACATAAGCTACAAAATTATATAGACTCTGACCTCAATTATGTAGTGTAATATTTATAAAAGAGAAAAATCAAATGTTAACAGGTGTTATTTTTGGATGGTGTGGTAATGGCTGATTTGAATTTCTGTGTCTATGCTCTCCATAATTCCTGAGTGTTTTGCAATGAAAAAGGTTTAATTTTACCATCAGAAAAACCATGCTGTTATTTTTAAAGATTTGATTCCAAGGTTGTCCATTGAAAATTCAAAGAACACACAAAAAGGTAATTTAACATTTCCTGCAAGTCTGCATTTCCATGTTGGAAAAAGGAGAGAGAATTCATAGAGAGCTTAAGGCCCCTTTCCAATTCTATAACTTTCCCGGGGGAGAATGGATGCCCATGCATGCAAGAGACACATTTACCAGGGGGGCTAAGGGGATGAATTCACTGTGTGCTCATGAAGCTGAGCAAGGAAAACTAGAAGGAGCACTTGAGGTACATGAAGACAGAGAGCTGAACCCCCAAACCTAACTCCAATTTGAACTCTAACCCTGAGTCATGGCTGCACATTAGAAACACAGGACATTTCTTGTTGCTGTCATTTCCCATAACTCTGGCATCTGAGACCCTTTGATCACATAGAGCAGGTGTCACAAAGGGTCAAGGTCCTGCCGTGGTTTACCTAGAGAAAAACAATAGTGAAAATATGTCTCCTTGTCCAATTCACTGTGAGGGTCCTGGTCCTCATTTCTACCCCTAATCTTCTAAATTCCAGAGGAAAGAGTAGAGCTGTGAAGTATGTTCCTGTGTTAGCCAAAGGGAGAGAGCTGTCTGCTGTGCTCCATCAGCTGCGGAATGCCCTAGCTCACATTGACTGACAGGTCTGCAGGGCTTAGGCAAGGCCCTAGCACAGAAAACAACAACAACAAACAAAACACTACCTTACCCTCTAATTTAGGAATCAAGAAAGTGTATGTAAGGCAAAATGACATCAAGTTTCATTGCACTGATAAATGGTTCTGTATCATGCACTGAATTTTTTTTTTTAAGTTTATAAAAGCTACTGTAAAGGAGCTAGTCAATACAGAAGGACTTACAGGTGTATCCCACTTCCAGCAAACTGAATATCTGAAAACCAGAATAGCATAAAAGAGTACCACTACCACTTTTTAAAAAAACTGATTTACCTTCTACCTTTAAAATATAAATGGATTCACTACAACTTGCTTAACGCACAACATATCAAGCACAATAAGAGTTGCACAAAGGGAAGTGTATATGGAATTCACAAGTTAACATTTGGATACCACCTTACAGGATAAAAATACAGATTTTTCTGATTAAAAAATGAAAGAGACTTTAAATCAACTGCAAATCATAAACAATCTTTATGTAAAAGGGGTTAATAGTTTTGAGTTTTAAAAAAGTTTTCTTGTAGCTCCTTCTCTGGATTTTTTACATTCATTTATCTCAGCAGGTACACCAAAAGAATCCATTTTAAAATCACCGTGCAGGTGTTTTAAACATGCTTCCACATCCAGGGGAGCATTTGACACCTGTGTCCATACACACACACACACACACACACACACACACACACACATTAGAGACCTGGGACACCTACAAAAAAGTCAATACCAATAAAGCTGTGCCCTAACAGTTACTTATCCATCATGCCCCCTCAAGAGCCATTCATTCTAGAACACCAGCCTGTCTTTGAAAATGCCAATGTTTTCACTTTCCATCAGTTTCCGAAACCCTAATTTGTTAATTATAGGGAATGAAGGGCTCTCACTTGTTTGACCAAGCATATTTTCTGTGGATGCAGACAGGCTAGAAACATTGACTTTCCATAGCAAGAGGAATTTAGGAATTGTCTGGGTAAGCTTCCTGATCCTTAGGAACTGTACTGCTCTCATTCTTGAATGAGAACTCGTCGGGGCACAGAGGAAGCTGAATTAGAATCTGGAGTGTTTTATGATTTGTATGAAATGCTCTTCACATTCAAATAATAACTGGAGAGTTGAGATGTGAACTGAAAGTCCCTGAATCGTCAGGAAAAAATGAAAAATGAGAAAATTTGCCGAGGTGTGCTTAAAACACAACACAACATGAAGCTGCTTAACAGAAGAGCAGGCCTGGAGGAATTTACAAAGCTCCCTTCAGGGGCTAGTTCCTTGACCAAGCCCTGGGAATGCCCCTCAGGCTTTAAGGAGAGAAGGAATATATGGAAAACAAAACAAAACAAAACAGGAGTGGAAATGAAAGTGTCAGGGAGATGAATGAATGAAGTAAGGAAAGTTATATTAAGAAAATGGGAGTGTGTGTTGAAAGCAAGGGAGACTGGTAATGGGTGATAAAAAAAAAAGGTGAGGTAGGGGGAGAAAGATGAAATAGAAAAATAAGATAAAGGTCTCCATCCACCATTGACTCAACTGACAGCCAGTAAAAGCCCCAGGGCATGGGTGGCTCATCTTCCCCTTGGACCATATATGACCCAGCCCCCAAACTCCAGAGCAATGCAGTGGTCCACTCTGGACACTTTCTCACTTCCGCAAAGGGCAAGCTCACCTATCAAAAGCCACAGCCGTCATGGAATAGATACTGGCGAAGACAGCAGCGATGGGGAAGAAGTTGTGGAACTTGCAGTAAAACAAGCCGTAGTACCACTCGTTGTGGACAGCGTAGGTGAAATTCACCACTGTATTGAACGCAGCCATGGAGGCCTCCGCGAAGGCCAGGTTCACCAAGAAATAGTTAGTAACTGTCCTCATTCTCTTGTGGGCCAAGATGATCCACATCACTACCACATTGCCCACCACGGAGGTCACCACGATGACCGTGTAGGCAGCTGCCCAAAGGACAATCTGCCATGCCGGCTGCACAAACTGGTTGGGTTCCGAGGTGTTGGTGGAGATGTTTGGGAAGAGGTCTGAGTCCACAGGGAGGACATTATCCATTGTGCAGCTAGGCAGCAAAGACCTCCCTTCTGTACACCGGGGCTCTCTTTGCAGCGGGGTCCTGTGGCAGGCTCCTGAGGCTCAGGGCCCTGCTTAAGTCAGGCAGGAGGGAGGAAGTCTCTTTCTGGGCAGAACTCTCCTTATAAGCAGGAGACTTGGCGCTCAGAGAATAAATGCTAGCTTTACCTTCTGCCTGCCCCTTGTGGCTCTGAATTTCTCCACTTTCAAGCTTCAGGAAGCATTTGAGTTCCGAATCTGAAGTCAGCGTCTCTTCTGCGTCAAACTGAAAGGGGAAAAGCAATTCCACCGGTTACCGTTCTAGGAAAGAAGAGAACCCCGCCTTTTTTGCACCTGCTGCTATTTGCAACTCCTATCTCCCCTTTCTGCACCGGGAAAGGCAAAGCCCTACGTTGCGTGAGGACTTGTGGGGAGGGAAAGAGGGCCTGTCACAGCGCTGTCTGTAAAAGTTCTGATTCTATGGCCAGAATTCTGGGTCCTCGTGTCCAGCTGAAGAATTTTTTTTTTCTTCTTCTGCGCTTTAGCTGAAGCCGCCGCTGCCGCTGCCTGCAGCTTTGCAGGAGTCTCTTGGCTTGGGTTCTGCTCAGCTAGGGAGTTAACAGAACCTCGGCAGGCTGCGCACGAGGCTTTTATAACACGCTGCAGACACGTCACTGGGAAGGGGGCAGTACCTGGGCTGCTTACTCGCCAGTCCCTGTGCGCAGCGCTGCGCCAGCTGTTGGCAACTGTCTCACTCCACCGCCGCGGCAATCCTGCCTTTTGCTGCTTGCTACCTGCTGTGGGCGTCTGTAAGCCGGTCGCCGCAGCAATCCACCAGAGGGCGGTAGGTGGCCTGGGAGTAACTGAGCCAGATGGGTCCACAGCTGGAACCACATTTGCACCAGGGAGGCTGGGGGGAAAGGAAAGATTTGGGAAACAGTTGAAGTGAAGGACAGTCAACGTTCATGGGAGGCAGCCTAGAGCCCTGCTGCAACTCTGCAGAGGCGCCTACTTATTAAGGCTGTGGTAGTTGGGCAAGTGGGAGGGCAAGGTGCCAGCGCTCCAGCCGAAGGGCACCACAGGCTTGAACTGCTTGAAAACAACCGGTTTCAGGAGTCTGGAAAACTTTCGTACCCACCCCATCTACTCCCCCCCCCCCCCCCCCCCCCAAAGTAGCTCCTCTCCCTGGCAAGCTGATTCTCCTGGAAAGCACCTGGAAAGGTTCTAAGCCTTCGTGCACCTTCTCCAGCCACCCTGATGACTTGGCTCCTCACTCTAGGAGAAGCTACTGCTAAGCCTTCCATCTGAGCTCTCAGGACGAGCCTCCCCGCAAGCATTGGGGACTAGACTGGGCTCCTTGCGAAGCTTGGTGAGTGCAGAAGCCACCCTTAAGCCAGCTTGTTGCCCAAACGCGGTTCTGGGCTTTCTGCCAACACTCGCTGCGGATTCTCATTCGCTTCCGGGGAACTGGCAGCCTCCTTCTCCGCACCTCCCTGGCCCGCGGACCAGCTGGGACCAGAATGACTTGGGGGCTCCTTACCCTGCCCCTCTTCCAGGTTTTTATAGGAACTGTAGGCTAGGTCTGTCTTGCCTTCTCTTCCTATTCCCGCCCCGCCCCTGGTGGACTTTGAGGCCCCCAGTCTCCCAGTTAGAGGCAATTTCAAAAGGTACAGCTGGGGATTGGGCACTGGGAGAAGGTAGGGGAAAGGCAGGCCAGAGAGAATCATTTTGGAGAAGCTGAGATGGGCTTCCTGAGATGAACTGAGGAGTGTGTTCCGGGTGAACTGCGGTGGGCAAGGGACCTTGGAGTCTTTCCTGGGGCGCCATCTACCCCTCTGCCATCCTTTTTCACTGCGGGGGACTTGGAACTGCTAGACGCAGGCGGGGTAGCATCAGCATGCGTAGGCTGGGCTGGCTCACACGCTCACCCTCCTGAGAGACAGTGGTGTGTGCACACTAGTTTGGCAAGCGCGTACTCTCACGCCAAATACTTTTAGGCTGGAAATTTTATTGTACTGATTTGTGGCAGGATAAAATCGGATCCCTCCCCTGGGCAGGGAATCTGCTAGTTCACTCTGGTTTTGCTTTCTGCACATATATAGGAACCGCCCTTCTCTCTGCTCCGTTCTTTCAGGCATCCTTAAAGTTTCTAAGCCCTGCAGAGAAAACTCAAGGGATGCTTTAGATAGTGCCCCCCACCACCCCATGGAGAGCAGCGGTATAATATAAATCCTCTTTTGCACGGCTTCCTCACTTCATTTTGGATCTTTCATTCCTGCTTTCACCAGCTGGAGGAACTCTGAAGAGAGGATGAGGGGCCCTGAGGAGCTGGGGGTGCAGGAGACTTAAGTCTAGAGAAGGAAAAAGAGGCAACTAGCTATACTAGAAAGGTATTAAGCACTGAGTGAAAGAGAAGAAGTCCACCTCACCTAGACAACCAAGGGAATCTGGGTAGAGTGTAGAAAATCCTACCCATCAAGAACCCTGAAGGATGAGTTAGGATGGGAAGAGGCTGAGATAAGAGGGAGGAGAATATCCCAGACAGAGTTTTTATAAGTCAAGTTAAGTCAATCTGCTTGAAGTTCCATGAAGACTGTCCGGTTAACTTAGCATAACACCTATAGTCCTGGGCTGGGTCTCCAAGGCTGGGCATTCTCCAACCTGATGCACCTATGACGAGTGCCCTGGGTTGCTCTCCTTCCTACTTTCTGTTCTTCATGGCTTGTAGTCATATACCAGGGGGTATATGGCTTGCTAAAGTTAATTTCTTTCCAGAGAAAAAACAAAGCATACTCAGGAGGGGGTTCACAATTAATAGAAACCCAAAATGCCTTAGCTATACTGCAGCAGAAGGTGAACACACTCTGAGCAGGGGCACTCTCTATCACTGCCCCTTCTGAAAGTAATGACTTTCTTTCCCATTTAGGAATAAATTTGCACAAATATATAGGTAAGATCCCATGCATTCTATTTTCCTCCAAGATTGGATATATTTTTTTCTTATCCTTGGGGTTTCTTGGCTTCCCTTTCTACTGACCTCCCTCCTTGACACACAAAACAGAGTCACCCATCTTGAAGGAAATCCTGTTGACAAAGTACTTTAAATCCAGGCTGTCTTTATCTAGACAGGAATGCAAACACACATAATACCCATACCTGAAAATCAAATAAGGGACTTTCATTGTTGTCTACATTTTGTTTTTCTCACTCAAAACTTTGTCCAAATGCTCTGAGTCAATGAGTATAGATGAACTTATTTTTTATAATGGCTAAATATTATTGTTATGGTATAGATGATGAACTATCATTCATACACTCATTTTTTTATTCTTAAAATTTCTATTTTGTTTCAGTTTTTGCCACTAACAACAATGAGCAATAAATATTCTTTACCTCTGTATCCAAAGCCTGATATTTTTAATGCTTTTATTCTTTCTTGTGCTCTCTCTGTCTCTCTCTCTGTCTCTCTGTCTCTCTCTCTCTCTCTCTCTCTGTGTGTGTGTATGTGTGTGTGTGTGTGTGCTGGACCACTGAGCTACATCTGAAGCCTCTGATGTTTTCTTTTGATGGGACAGATTCCAAGTGGAGTTGGTGGGTAATTTGTAATACCCATAAATTGATGTTATTATATTATTTATATTCGTGTGCAGATATGTAGATGTGCTGTTTCTATTTATACTTTAATATTGCCAGATTGCTTTCCAAAGAGAATGACATACTATTACATTTCACTAGCAATTAGATTACTCCTTTCCCCACATATACTCTAGGAATAAGTGTTAAAAGCCTTTTTAATCTTTTTTCAGACTAGTCTTGTAGCTCTAAAGTATTATAATATTGTTACTATAGAATTTTATAGTAATTTACCAATTACTAGAGAATTTGATTTCTTTTAGAAATTTTCTTTTGGCTGTTTGAATTTTCCCTTCTATAAATTCTCTATACACATGTCTTGTTCTTTTTTATGCTGTAGTGCTTTCTAGTTTTTTTTTTTCTAAATGTTCTTTGTATTATAGGTACAAACACTTTGCCTGTCAAAAATATTTCAAATATTTTTCTAATACTATTGTTTCTCTCCTGAATTTATATATTTGCCACAAAAACTGAAGCAATTTTATGCAGTCATATTTACTTTAAAAGGATGTGGGTTTTCCTGTCTTGATTTTAAACAATCCTAGTTTTTTTCCAACCTCCTAGATTACTTTGGAAGTTTTATCAAATTTTATTTTTTACCTTAAGGTCTTTAATTCATCTGCAGCTTATTATTTTGTATTATTAAATATAAATAAAATACGTTTACTTTTTCTTTCTTTCATATATTTAGCTAGTTTTGACAGTTCCATTTATTGTCCCAGTAACTTAGACCATTATCCTTGTTGTAAATTAAATTTTTAAATATTTGTGATTTAATATTTCTATTCTCCAGAGCCTACTGATCCATTTGCCTATCTCAACCAATGGCAATGCTGTGTGTGTGTATGTGTGTGTGTGTGTGTGTGTGTTTCATAGGATGCCCTACTTTTCCTAGCCACCTCCCCCATTTGTAGCTAGGTAGAGTCAAGTGATTATTCAGGCCAATAGGTTGTGAGTGAAAACAATTTATGTCACTTCTAGTTTGGGGCATAGACTTCTCCATGTGTTGCATCCCCTCTGCCAATTGCCATGTTCCAAATGTTTCAGTTACAAGGTGACTTTCTTGTAATTGAAGACTCTGTCTCTATCATCTCTAGTTCCCAAGTGACTATGTAACATAGACCCTTGTCAAAGCATTATGGGCATGTAGCATAAGCAAGAAATAAACTGTTGCTATATGAAGGCGGGAATTGGGATGAATTCATTGCTCATCAGGTGACTGCTCATCCTGAGTAATATAGGAATAAGGTTTCTGATATCTTTAGGACAAGTTCCCCTGAGGGCTCATTTCATGCTTTTCTTACTTATTTCAGGATATCACACTTAAGCTTAAATAGTTTTTATTCCACTTTTAAAACTCCAAACAACAACAAGAAACTTCATTAGTATTCCAATTAATATTCTAATGGGAAATGATTGATATTTGTTTTGTTAATATTGATAAAATTGAGTTTTGATATTGGGGCTGTTTATTCAAGAACATGAGACGTCTTTCTATTTCTTCAGGTCTTGTTTTCTGTCTTTTAAAAATATCTTATAGTTATGTTTAAAGTAGATCCAGTCTTTGAATTAAATTTATTTCAATCGATTTTTATGATTTTTTGATATTGTAAATGAGATAATAATAATAATTTAATAATAACATTATTAAAATAATATTGATGCTAGGTCAAAGAAAAACTATTGATTCTGTGTGTGCATACGTGTATGTATATGCATGTGTATTTCCTAGCCAGGTTACTAATTTTTATTTATTCTAATGTTATTTTAGCTAAACTTGCTAAAGAATCTTTTATGCTTAAGTACTTTTTTCTGCTTTATTACTTTGAAGAATAATAGAAATATCTTGTCATTTATTTTGAATTGCCTTTTTTCAGGATCTATTGATTGTATGATCTTTCTCTCTAGTTTATTGACACAATGGATTAAGTGAATAGACTTCCTAATACTGACTCAAATACTGACTCACTCTTCT